ACCACCGCCAAAACCCCCTCCAAACCCGGCCCCGCCAAACCCACCACCGAATCCACCGCCTCTTAAGCCGCCTCCTAACCCACCCCCTCCTAACCCGCCTCCTCCGAGCCCACCCCCTCCCAAACCCGCCTCCCCCAAACCCGCCTCCTCCTAGCCCACCCCCTCCTAACCCAACCCTTCCAAACCTGCCACCTCACCCGCCCCCCGTTCGAGCCCCCACCCAACCTGCCGCCTCCAGACTCGCCGCCCCCCCCCTTCCGAGCCCGCCCCCACCAGCCGCCCCCTCCGGTACCTCCACCAGCTGCGACGCTTCTGACCTTTGAGACGAGTGCCATACTCTTCCCGAACTTCAGCCCGTCTGGTGAGTATCGTTCATCTGACCGATGGGCATGTGATCAGCACTACAAGACCAAAAGGAAACGGCAGCAAATCAGGATCAAAAGGTACTACGGAAGCCCAGTCCTAGACGACTCAAGCTGAGACCAGCCTGCAAGTAGATGGCGGAAAAAGCGAGTTACAGAAAGATATTGTAGGGATCTAGATGTCAGGCATCCAGCTTGAGATTATTCAGGCAAGCTCAGAGCGTTCGATCGTGTCAAGCTGCTACGCGCGCGTATTGTGGCCCTGTTCATTGCATTTCGTCAGTTGCCACAGACTTTGCACTCTGTAGGATGTATTTGCCTCAAGTTGACCCTCTGGAATCAGTTCCCGGATCAAGAGATTGTCATGTCAGTCATTCGAAGCAGTCATGATCAGGAGGATTCGGACCCTCTTTTCAGTTCCACGCTCATTTATGATTTCAGCAATCCAAGGTAGGATCTCATAACGGGTTACCATTTTCCTCAGGAACCCTGTACTCCATTTTCGTGGCGAAGGACGTGCAAGCGATTACCGTCACGGCAGTTTCTGCCGACCCCGGAGCCACCATTTCCGTCGCCTTGCCTTCCGGCGGAACCCCGGCTTTGACCAGTGGGGTGACATCCGATCCGTTCGCTGCGACTTCCGGCGGAATCTTGGCCCTCACAGTCACGGTGCGTTGTGCTGCTTCGCAACCTCTTTGAATAGAGTGATCGGTTCATTGCTCGTTCGCAGGCGTTCTTGCTTCCTTCAACATGTGATTTGAAGATGCAATTCTCTCCTTTAAAAATATTTATTTTTCCGTGAAAACGAAGTGTTCGTACTCAAAAGTGAGACGCTTGCAATGCGCTCGACCAGGCTCAGCCCCTTTTGGCACTCATATTTAGTGTCTCAGGACGACTCATCAACGTCGAAAAGGCCACCACACGTAAAGCTGGACTCCATGCTTTGCAGGTGAGACTTCCGGGAAACATTTGTTGGCAGTTTCGTGAACCATGCGCGTTGACCTTGAACCACCTTTTCATTTTACAGGCCTCCAACGGCGCTTCTACCAGGGTCTACTTTTTCCGGACGGCCATTCTCCAAGGGACCGACGCGTCGCTGCAGATCCTCTTCCTCACGCCCGGCCTTGTCTCCCCCCCATTCACACCAAACTCCCTCAACTACTCTGCGACTTTCGCTTCCGGGGGGGGCGTAGCGACTCTGTTCGCAGCCACAAACGACACGGCTGCGTTGGTGTCAATCGGCGCCGGAAAAGCTGCCGTCGGGAAGATCAGCCAGACCGTTCCGGTTCCGTTCGGCCGCTCCGTTCTGCAGATCACGGTGACGTCAGAGAGCCTGTCCTACACGACGGTGTATTACGTCAGCATGCAGGCGCCGCTGGCGCCGCCCCCCCCACCACAGCCGCCCGTCTCTGCCCCCCTTCCCTCGAGCTCAACACTTATCTCCCCCCCACTACCAGCCCTGTCTTCACCCCCCCGGCTCGTTCCCACTGTCGGAATCGTCTCCGGTCCGCCCCCCTCAACGAGGGATCCGTCCGCGGAGTTCCGCTTCTACGCGAGGGACGGAATGGGAGGTAACTGCTCCGGTTGCACCTTCCACTGCACTGTGGATGGCCAGACACAGCCAGCATGCGCAAATCCGGGTTCGCCGATCTTTAACCAGGTCCTTAACCTTCTAAGCTACTCGGTAAACGTGTCCGCTCCCGGGGAGGGGCCCCACACTTTTTCCGTTGACGCGTTCGACCCGCTCGGTTTAAGCAGCGCCCCCACGAGTTACACATGGGTTATTGACTCAACCCCGCCCGTAACCCGCGTGACCAGCAACGCCCCAACGGATCGGCTAACGAGTCTGCAAAACGTCCAGTTCAACGTCACTGTCCGAGACCAGTCGTCGGACGGGTCTACGTCGTTGGTTTGTCCTGCGTGCACCGTCCAATGTAGCATCGACGGCGGAGCGTTTGCCACGTGTCATCAGGGCCAGCCCATGAGGTACTTTCTGCAGCCGGGGCAGCATGTTTTTGCGGCGCGAAGTATTGACGCGGCCGGGAACGAAGAGGCGGTGCCGGTTGAACGGTTTGTCGTGGTAAGGAGCAAGCCTAGATTGCCTTGCTATCTGGCTCTCACCCATGTATCAGGATCCAACGAGACTGGATACTCAGAAGGCACGTTGATTTTGAGATGGCCAGGGCAGAAAGTTCATGGAAAGACCGTTTCAGGTCGGTCTACACCTCCAACGGCTTTTGTGCTCGTAGCAACCCTTGGAAGGACAATTCTGGGACAATTCTGATGATTTGTCCTTCCAAGTCGACTGCAGTGACATCCGCTTTATGGGCTACGAAGAACACTTCCGTTTTCGCTGCAAAGTCTTCGAACTGCCCGCTCAACTGATTTTTGTGGCCGTATTGAGTTCCGACATCACAGCGAGACTTTTTCGCGTCACAGGAACAACTCTGACGTAGCTCGCAGGTAGACCTGACTCCTCCCAAGGCGCAACTAACGCTCGCGCCCGCGCCCATTACCGGCACCAGCACCGCGCGCTTCCAGTTCGCCGCGACCATCGCGGGGTCCGCCGTCCGATGCGTCACGTGTACCTTTCTGTGCCGGTTGGATCAGGCCACGTGGCAGTCCTGCTCACAAGGAAGTGGAATTGCGAGCGGCACGGTTTACAGGTGAGAGTCATGGTTGGAAGTGTGTAAGATGATCCATTTGGAGGGTTCAGATCTCGAACTCCTGCATTAGCATCACATGTCTGCTTGTTCTTACCGGAGATGAGACGGAAGGATGGGCATTTAGACTGCCCAGTGGATCTATGGGGGAGAAGGAAGCCTTTTGTTGCTCTGCATCCAAAGAAGCTGGCAAGGTCAACGGACCGTTCGTGTGGGGAGATTCACCTGATAATCACAGGTACTAGAATGCTCAGAGCGTTTGAACGGTGTCTTTGGAACGAAACCTTTTCTCTACAATCTTAGCGTGATGTTCTGAATACTGGAGAGGCAGTCGTTCTTTACACAGCACTCACAACGACGCAGTGAAGACGGGAAGCAGTGCCACGAAGCTTGTTTGGCTGATGCAGTTATGAATGCAGGAGAGCACATTCTGTGGCCACGATTTTGGCAGCCATAGCTTGGAGTTCTTGAAGAGGCTTTCTTAGGGTCGTTCCTCCTGTTTCTTGTAGGAACGTCTCCAACGGCGCTCACACCTTCTCGGTACAAACCACCGACCCCGACGGGGTCCTGACTTCCAGTCTGTCCTATAACTGGACCGCTGACCTGGTTGGCCCAACCGTGGGCATCTTCTATTATCCACCCGCCTCGACCGCACTTTCGAACGCAATCTTCTCGTTTGGTGCGATCGTTCCGGGCACCAACTCTTCCGGTTCCGCCGGGCAGCCCGTTCCGTGCCCCGGGTGCCTTTTCTCCTGCGCTCTCGACGGAGCCACCCCCCGGTTATGCGACCCGAGCAGCCGCGTGACGTTGGCAAACCTATACGAGGGCATGCACACTTTCTCGGTGCAAGCTGACGACATCTTCGGCAACGTGGGCGCCCCCGCAGTTTACAGGTGGCAGGTCAACTTCAGCCTGCCGCTCGCGAGCGTCATCTCGGGGCCGCCGCTTTTCGCGGCAACCAATAAGACGTCCGCTGAGGTCACGTTCACGGGAACGCTACGGAACGTTCCTTGCGTCGGGTGCACTTACCAGTGCCAGCTCAACAGCGGGCCGTTCGTGGGGTGTAACGCAGCAACGCCGCTGAAGCTCTTGGCGTTACAGCAGGGGACGCACAGCTTGGTGGTGCGCGTCACGGACGTCCAGGGCGCGTCGACTCTGTCTGTGCCATACGAGTAAGCGCGCGATGCCGAACCAAGGGCACTTTTCTCGGCTCGTTCAACTTTGATTCGAGAATCTTTGGAAAAGCACATTCCAAGGACGAAAAACGGAGACTCCGTTGCAAGTCCAACCTAAAAGCGTTGTAGACCAGGAGAGATCTGAGGTCGCACTTACTCTGGTGGGAACCTGAGACTCGTGTTCTGCACCGAAGTCGGTGGCTAGTTTTAAGGATCCGTTTTGAAATTCAAAGCCGTAATACTTTCAACTGAGGCGAGGTCGTGCATCGCTATTAGCAGGTCATCAGATCTCAGTCCTTCGCAAAATTGTACCTTTTTCGATAGAGACATCAAGAATGACTTTCAAGTAATATCTATCACCAACGCTCCTCTCATAAGAATAGCTGCTCAGGTAGGATGTCCAAGATAGCTCAAGGACCGTTTTGTGGTTCAACTTTCCGTACCACACACAGATCAAAGTCCTGTTGGATTTCCCAACGAGCGCTTTTTCTTTTCGCAGATGGGTTGTTGACACGATTTCGCCCACGGTATCCATTCAGTCCGGCCCCTCTTTCATTACCGGCACGTCGACCGCCCAGTTCTCCTTCTCAGCGAACGACACGGTCAACGGCGTCCAGACCACCTGCGGACAGTGCGCGTACGAATGCGCCCTGGATTCGGACCCCTTCCAGCCCTGCATCAACCCGGTCATCTTTACAAACCTCGGGTTAGCGGACTCGGTCACTGCCCACGTCATAATCGTGGTTTCCGTGGACGCGGCCGGCAACCGCGCGCTGACCCCAGCAGTGTTCCGCTGGACGGTGGACCAGCGCGCTCCCGTCGTTTTCGTCGTCAGCAAACCCGCCGGAAACGCGCCCAGCGGAGCGGTCGCCTTTTCCGCGCGCGCCAACGCGGCATCTGCGGACTGTAACGGCTGCAACGCGTACTGCTCGCTGGACGGCTTGGCCCCCTACCCCTGCGGTGACGTCAGCAATTCTAGCCGGGCCGAGGCCGTGTTTACGAACCTGAAAGTGGGGCCGCACGCGGCGACCGTTCGCTTCATAAACGCTGTCGGAGTCGCCGCCGCTTTGGCCTTCTCTTGGACCGCCGACTTTACGGGCGCTTATGTTAAGCTCTCCGTGCCCGACTCACCCGTCCGGCGGAATCCGTTTCCGGTTACTGTCTCATTCAGCAAGCCTTGCTGGGGAGGCAACGGCTTCACCTGCGTCAGCGTAACGTCATGCGAGGTGATCGTCGCCGGCGCGGCAGTGCCTGACCCGGACAGCTTCTTCACTTTGGATCCGCAGCAGTATACCATCGAGGTCACACCCATAGGCGATGGGCCGATCGGCATAAGCGTTCCCCCTGGGGTCTGCCTAGACGCAGCGGGAAACCCGAACTTTCCAGCGGAAGCGTCCGTTGTTTTTCAAGCCAAACCCCCGGAGGCGGCGCTAGTTCCAGCCGGCGCCTTGACGCCCGTCACCGTGACATCAGCCGCTGCCGTCAGCAGCAAAGCTGCATGGGCCACGAACTCTTCGCCAATTCTGTTCACGGTCACTTTTAGCCGCGAAGTAACCGGGTTCGATTTGAGCGGAATTTCAGTGACCGGCGGCAAAGCTGAACATCTCCTCGACGCGAGTCGCTCGACCAGCGCGGCCGCGCGCGCGTCGCCTAGCGGCTCAAACTCCCCGAATGACGTCAGCAACCTGTCCTCCTTGATACGCATTGACGGTGCTGGGGACAGCGCCTCGAGTACCGCGTTCTCATTTCGCGTCGTTCCGTTCGGGCGGAACGGAACGGTATCTGTCCGGATACTGCACGGAAGCTGTGCCGACAGTCTGGGCAGCCCAAACAGCGGTTCGGACGCTTTTGAGTTTGTGTTCGATGATATGCGTCCTACGGTCTCCATGACGCCACGTGGCAGCCCCAGCGATATCTTCTACGGCCTCGAGTCAGACAGTGCATACTTGGTCGTAATCCGGTTCAGTGAACCCGTTTTCGTGTTTGCGAACCGAACGGGGACTCTCGCTTTGTCGGAGTTTGGGAC